TTTATGCATTTATGACAAAAATGTGCGTGTAAAATTTGGAATAGAGAAAAAAAGAAACTGAGAATGTTGGTATACTAATTTCAAGTAACTAAAATTATTAATCAACATCGCAAAGATAATCGAACAAGATTTTTATAACTGTTCGAAAGCTCGGTTGCGATCATAAATATGTTTTGACTCGAGGAAATTAGATACAGTTTGCTACAAACGCGATCACCCGTAATTATCAGAAAGTCGATTTTGATGTGAGTTTTGGAGCAGTAAACTAAACTTATATAACAGAAAACATAACAAATGACTTATAATTAATTCGACTTTTTTTGCACAAAATACGAGATCATGGCCATTATACATATATGTATATGATTCTGTTAGCGAACCTGCTATACGTAAAACTGTTTTGTTTTCCTGTCCAGCTTATATGAAACCTACATATTAGGATTTCTATAGCCAGACGAAGTCAGTAGGTAGACTTGGCTTGTTAATAATAGAACGAACTTTTAAAGATACTGGTACGCTCGTATAAGTCTGTTATCACTGAAACGTTCAATCGAATACGATACAATTTTCTTAACAAGATAAAAGCACATTCCAACTCCCTTCTCAACGTTACAATGGTATAGCAGAAATCTCACTGTCTTGCATAGAATGGTGAGAGGATTATGCCTATAACATAGAGGAGGGTGATCTTCATTTAATAAAGTAATGCATTTAATAAAATTTCCATTTACAAAAAACCGTACTACCGTGGGCATGTAACGTTTAATTGTATGTCATAAATTTTTGCTAGATTTGTTTTACGCATCAGTGAAAAGAATAGATGAGAGAGAAGTTGAGGGAAAACTTGAAACTGGCAATACCTTTTAAGAAAGCTAAGGAATTACCTGATCAGTAAAAAGAAATATTTTCAAATCATAATTCTTCCCTTTCTAGAATATTTCAAGAATGTACTACATTCGTAAGAAATGAATTTAGTTCCATTACATTTCTCCAAACAAGACAGTATAATAAGAACTTTGAAATCGAATTTCTTGAAACGGCATTTCAGCGTATGCGGTCTTTTGTGGCCTTTTTCCCCTTGGAACGCCTCAATTTTCATGAATGGACAATTTCGCTACGAGAAACGGAAAACAACTTCCATGTTACAAACCTTGACGAATGTGGAACGAGATAGCAATCGATTGCATAAATGAATTACAATGTTTACAAAGTTCATGGTACGGTCATAACATTAAGAACACATCCGGACTGATCGATTTTCAGTAGAGACATTGTTTGCAATGAGTTTAATGCTAAGGCTTATTTGTATACTGTGTTACCTTTGAGCATTCCCTCATATAAACATTATGGTCCACAATTAGTTCGTAAAGTGAAGCTTCTATGCGTGGGCTGAAAACAGTTATGATATCGGTTTCGATTCTTGAAATAGTTATGAAGAACCGAAATGCTCTCATAACTGTTATAAGTGTTATAATAATAATATCGGTTTCGGTTTCGATTCTTCAGAAACGTTATTATATCGGTTCTACAACTGTTATTATTCGGTTCTGAGTTTCGATTGTGGATCTCGGTTCTAATTCTATTTCACGTAACAAATACATTGTGTTTCCTTTGGGGATTAAAAGTATGGATTCTGAAATATAATCTTCTACACTGCATTGAATTGTGCCAATACGTGCAGGTATGACCGAAATCCAGAACCGAAAAATGACAGTTATAGAACCGATAGAATATATGTAAGTCAGAACCGATATACCTCATAACTATTATGAAACTTTTTCGGTCCTCTATTACTGTTTCAGTCGGAATCGATAAATAACAGTTTGAAACAGTTATTTTCGGAACCTTTCCAATCCCGGGTTCTAATGTAATTTAATACTTCTCACATGCCCAATAAAGAGTTTAGTTTAGATTATTAGTTTATATTCAGTTTTATTTAATTATTATTATTATATTAGTTATTATATATATATAATATTATTATATTATTTTTATTTATTTATTATTATATGTTATATATATATTATTAGTTATTATATTTAATTATAATATCAGGTATTATTTAGTTATATTTAGTTTAGATTTATTTAATGGATTAGAAATGACATTAATCAGCTCGTATAATCACAGTTACGTGAGAAAGTGAATCATGTTAGAAACAAGCGTGTCTCATTTCCGTCTAATCAAAACCAACGATTCCCTAGACGTTTTATCTTAATTTCACGGTAATCGCGATCCTTTTTCTACTCAATTATGTATTTCTTACGCGATGAAATAATCGGTGTGAAATCGGTGTTCCAGTAAACAAGAATTTTTTGTAAACTCATGGAATGAATAAGAACGTTTCAGCAGTGTAATTTGTTACCGTTACAATTAGTATAATTAGAGGTTAATTTCTTCCCATAAATATTAATCGTAAGAAATATAATTTCGAACAGTTAATAGAAATTTAAACAAATGAAATCCTATTTTAAATAATTATTGTCAATACATATTAAGAAAATAATATTTCAATTAATAATTTTCTTCACCGCAACATAAATAATTATTTTCAATATATATACTTATCTCTATGATGTCGAATAAATCATGAAATATTGTTTCATACAAACAAGAATATTTCACTAACTATTTCTAATACTTTTTCAAATATTTTGACCCGAGTCTGACCAAAATCCACAAGTATCGGCATTTGGTTCACGATGCACAAGGAAAATGAAAAATTTGTTGGCCAGTGTAATTTACAAATACAGTAAATGTTCTCCAATTGTCGCTCAGCATGTAAACAAAAGTGGACAATTTGGGAAGAGAAGACACGATTATTCGGGTCTCGCGATACGTTATTATAGTCGCCGATTGTTGTCAACAACTATACTATAATAATCGGGTCTCCACTTCCTAAATTGTCAATTTCTGTTTACATGTTGAGTGACAAGTCGTCACCCTATGTATAATTCGCAGGGATTCCGTAGTGCTGCGGGCACACGGCCACGTGCCGCGCGTAAACGTTCGCTGTGTCAGAATTGAACGTGTAAGGAAATTGTCTCCGTATTAGACAGAGTATAGGCTTCCCTGATGGCAAGGAGACAGAGGCTGGCGCCGTCTGTCCTGCCGAGGAACTTATATCTTGGCAATCCCATAAAGAACAGGATCATCGACCTACCCCTCCTGTTAGTACGTCCCTCTCGATCCTTTTCAATGGCGAATCTATTCAACCACCTGAGGTTTCATGCCTCGGCATCGGAAATTTGCGTCGATCAATTTATCGGCTGTTCGCGATAAGAACAACGCAACTATCCATCGTGTTCTCCTCGATATTCGGAATCTATATGTATATGTATGTAGGCTGAGTTTATTCACTTTACTAAGAGCTGCTTGGAACTAAACTTCAACTATTTTTGCATTACTCGTTAACCCAAGCACAGGGTGTCGTAAAAATGTCTCGCAGTCCGGAAATGGCGGGTTCCTCAGGTCATTTGAAGTAACTTTTTCCTTGGCGAAAATGCAATCCACGGCTTTGTTTACGAGTTATTAATGAAAAACAGTGACCAATGAGAGGCGTACTTTCATACAATATGTTTGAAAACAAAACGACAGTTTGAAACATAAAACGGAGTTCTTTCCGTAGTATAATGCGTATAATGCGCATTATCATTCTTTGTGCATTTTTTTAAATAGTATGTATTTAGGTTCATACGACGCGTAGTTCTATTATGAAAAAAAACTCAGTTTTATGTTTTGTTCTAGATCGAAGGGAAAAATGCTAGACTGCACGCCGGTCTAGATCGTCGACCGGGAGGTTCATGTGGAGAACAAGATTTATTATTTCAATAAACGTCGATAAAATGTAACGAAACAAAAGTTAACGTATCTTGAAATGTCAAAGAATATGTATCGAAAGTGACGAAAATGTTCACGTATGTTTTAGATTATGCAAAAATTGCCGAAAACCATTCTTATTTTAACGGTTTACTTGAGGATCCCACCTTCTTAAAGGGAGACTTTCCTGCCAGTAAGATACCAACATGCTTCTTTGTGAAATTAGTATGTTACCAGCACCAAGCGTACCTTGTCTTTTGGAACCTGTTTTCGATCGAGGCTGCGTCCTTGGTCGGCCGATGTTCTCGTTCGCCCGGGGTGCGCCCCAGATTTTCATCGATGGAATTGTTTATTTTTAAGTTTCGCGATATTGGAGATAGTTCGCGTCAGCAACTATGGCCGGCCGTAATGCCAGTAGCTGCTAACTTGTCCTTGGTCTCTTTCGGGGTTTTACGATCCCGTTAAAGTCAATATCTCTCCAGTCGCGTACAAGAATGTTGTTTACGACTTCCTCCGGCCGTGTAATGCTCTAACTGCTCCCGAATCTGCCACGTATCTCCCTGAAATCGATTTTCCCTAATGGCGAGAACACGTAGTATCGGAGATGCAAATCGATGTCCGCGCCATTCCACTCGACGAGCATAGTCTTGCATAGAATTGCATAGTGAGCATAGGATTGCCTATCGTAATGATGCACGAAGACAAAAATGAAAGATTACAAACAAACTTTTCATGAAAAGTACTGCCTGAACTCAATGTCCAGAAATCTCAGTTATAAACCTGTACAATTTAGCAATCGTTGTAACAACTTTGTCTGAAAAACATTGTGAGAACTCAGTTTTCAAAAATGTTAACTACAAAAGTGATGATCCTTGACTGACAAATATTAAATTTCCACTTTCATGATTTTCAAATGTAAAATAAATTTAAAAAATTCAGTTTTCATAATCTTTTTATTATGAAGGTATCATGTGGTTTAACTATTTAGTTTAACAAATATGAAAAATATAAAAATCCAGCATTATAAAGTAGTTTCTTTTTGTCTTAGATCTATGAGACACCTAAGATCGTATGCAATCGTGAGACAACAAAAACCAGACTAAGCTTTCCACGTAACGTGGAAGACATGATACGATCTCGCGTGTTATCGGAACGTGAATGACAGAAAACGTTTGTTTCAGCTGAATGAGGCTCATGGAACCCTTGGGTGTCGCCCAGGACGCGGTGGAGACGGGTGCATTGAAAAGATGGGCCGACTTCCCTGTTCAACACAGATTCACAGACTACTCCACTTCAATTGGAGAACCATCGCATCACACTATCAGTCCTTTTCCGTGCCAGCCAGCGCTTAACAACAAAATTGCGCTATGGTAATTGCAGATAGTTCTAACAAAACAGTCTGTTTGTTTGCAAATTTTACAATATCGTGATTAATACTCAAGAACATGTTCCTGATAGCGTTAAACGTGATGACGCTGTGTTTCAAAATTTCAGCTTATTTAGTGTCTTAATTAGTGAATACTATAATATGTGGATGTAATGTAACTATAATATGTGAATATTAATTATAAATCGCAAAGACCCTCAATGTATTTTATTGAATAATATCTCTGTTATGTTAACCTAATTTCTAGATTCGTATTGCTATTTTGTAAAATTATATCTAGAATGAAAACGTAATTAGGAATTTGTTGATTTGTATTTTTATTGTAATATTCAATAATGGGTTATTAAAATTGATTTAAGAACTTATATCGTGTGGAGAACAAAAGTTTTGATACTATTTTTGAATAATTTATATGGAAGAATTCTTCACACTTCCATTTCTCAATTTCCAATTGTATTTTTAATGAAAATTAAATAATTACGAAGTAACTATAAGTTTCTGATCATTAAATTACAGAGCTACAGGTCATTTTAATGCATAAAGAAAAACTACTTGCAATTATATTTCATTGTTATAAAACCAATGACAACCTTATAATGATATGAAACAATAAATTAGTTTTAAAATTACATACAGCAAACACTATAGACAGTTTATCATAAAAATTATTTGTAGAGCACAAAGCAAAAGAATTTCAGCCATTATTTGATATGAACCCAATAGTAATGTCTAATAGATAAATTTTGTATCTTTTGGCAAACTGTATTTTTCGTGACACTCCGTAACAACTATATTGTTGCAGGACTGGAGACATTTCGGGTCTGCAAGTGGATGCGGTGGTGAACTCGACCAACGAAACTATGGATGATAACAGTCCTATGTGCCAAAGAATATTTGCTGGAGCTGGCTCACCGCTTAAGATGGAAATATTTAGCGAAATAAAAGGTATGATCACGATTTTCGTCATTTTTCTTGTGTTTCATTACATTTAACTGTTACTGATTTTATCGAAATAACAGTAATAGACAGATATTGAATTGGATATTATTATAGTATTTACGGTATTCCAAGTACCTTAAATGTAATTACTTGCAAAGTATTTAAAACAGTTTTGAATAAATATCATTTTTAGAATGCAAAACTGGCGAAATTAGAGTGACACAGGGACATGGATTACCGGTTCGTTTTATTATCCACACTGTCGGACCAGTCTACAACGTGAAATACCAAACAGCAGCTCAGAATACGCTACATTGTTGCTACAGGTGAGTTTTCTACGAAAACCATTAATTTCAAAAACTGTTTCATTCCGATTTTCGAAATTAAAAAATAATAATTTTATCATGTAAGTAGAGGTTTGCGAGATTTTAAATGAATATGTGACTACAGTGTGGGTGTCGGAATTTGTAGTGCAACCGAGCAGTGGTTCTGCGTGAAAAAATAAGAAAAAAATTTGATATAACATTTTTTCATCCGGGGCTCCGTTTTTGAAAAAATCAACTTTAAAGTCTGTTTACGAACATTGACGATGGATGGAAACATTCCGTTTACTACGGAAGCAACTGTAGCAGAAGAATAGACAACTAAATTCTTCACAAAGATGAACAAACTTTAAAATCGATTTTCTCGAAAACGGAGCCCCGAATAAAAAGATGTTATACCAAACATTCCATATTTTTTCACGTAGAATCACCCTCTTCTCGGTTGTAATACGAATTCCGGCCCACCCTGTATATGTATGTAGTGTTTCTATTGTACGATTCCTCTTTTAATAAACAATTTTTTGAAATATCTCGACATTTTCTTCTACGAAAATTCAATGCAATATTGTACTGTTGTAGGAATGTTTTGCAAAAAGCAAGAGAACTCGGGCTCCGTACGATCGCGTTGCCAGTAATTAATTCGGTACGGAGAAATTATCCTCCTGACGCGGGAGCGCACATCGCCCTAAGTAAGTGTCAATCATTGTACCTTCACAGGATCGAGGAGCCCCGAATAAAAAGATGTTATACCAAACATTCCATATTTTTTCACGTAGAATCACCCTCTTCTCGGTTGTAATACGAATTCCGGCCCACCCTGTATATGTATGTAGTGTTTCTATTGTACGATTCCTCTTTTAATAAACAATTTTTTGAAATATCTCGACATTTTCTTCTACGAAAATTCAATGCAATATTGTACTGTTGTAGGAATGTTTTGCAAAAAGCAAGAGAACTCGGGCTCCGTACGATCGCGTTGCCAGTAATTAATTCGGTACGGAGAAATTATCCTCCTGACGCGGGAGCGCACATCGCCCTAAGTAAGTGTCAATCATTGTACCTTCACAGGATCGAATGACTCAATAAAATTGATCAAGATCATAGTATTAACGTACGGTTGTATTTTGGCACTTGTAGGAACAGTAAGAAGATTTTTGGAGCAGTATGGTGATTCCATTACATGCATCGTGTTCGTCCTAGAGCCGAGTGATCTGGGAATCTATGAGGTCCTCCTTCCACTCTATTTCCCAAGAAATTTAGCGGAGCAAGATAACGCCTGTTGGCAGCTACCGAATGACATTGGAGGGATGGACGGAGAACCCCTGCTTCCCGACCGACAAATCAGAATTATTGACAATCCCCAACACGCTTTACACGGTAATTGTATACGATATAATTTTACAAGGACGAATCATAAATTTCACTATCATTTTAAAAGTAAGTTAGTTCAATAGAGCTAGGTACACCCTAAATAAGAAGTACAATTCGAAATTGTAATTGAAATGCTTTTATTTAAATGGATAGTATTCCAAAATTTCTCTAATGTTTCAGTTTAACATTCAAGAATATTTGATAGCATTTAGTTATTACATATGAATTGGAGCAATTAATTGACAGAACATTTTCAGTAAGATATATCAACTGTAATGACTCTTGGAATAATATTTTCTAGTAGGATTTATTAAATATAATAACTTGAAATAATATTTTCTGTAAGACATATATAATAATATTTCATTTTGGGTCTA